GACATAAAAACAGGCATTTGTTCAGTATTTATTGAATATTAGTCGTTATCATTTCAAAAATTCATCTGTTCGATTTCGAGTAATATCAATATCTTATTAACCAAGCGCGAGGGCCGTACGGGAAGTTATGGACCGAGTTTTTTTCACTGACTTTATATGGCCAGAGCGCGTAGCGCGAGATCCATAAAAAGTGGAAAAAAACGAGGTTCCATGACGTCCCGTACGGCTCGAGCAAGCGAGGTTAATAAGATATTTATTATATAGCATTTTCAGGGAAAAATAGCAAAATTAATAGAGACTCGGACATAAAAATACGTTTTTGTTCGTACTTTTCTTGTCATTCAAAATAGAAGGAAAAAAGAAAAACCTGAGAAACCTTGATAGCAAAATTTGGATTCATTTTTGACTCTTTTTATACAGTACAACTACAAAAAGAGAGAAAGCGAGCCTTTTTAAGATAAAAAACGTTTTTTCTCGTTTCATCTGGTCCGTACGGGAAAGTATGGCCTGCTTTTTAGCCAATGAAATCATGTGTTACATCCGAGCTATATAATAATGACAAATATTTCATGGATGTGATTTTTGGTGCAAATTACTCGAAATCGAACAGATGACTTTGTTTTTAAATATTCCAAAACGTTATGCAATAGTTTGAAGTAAATGATGATGTCTACCGCTTTTCTGGATCTCATCAATTTTTTCGAGATATTTGGGTAAAAACGAATTTCGACAAAATGCAAATTCCGTTGCCTAGGTAACGTTGATAGAGCTATATATTATGTCAAACCAAACTTTGCTTTAATGCTTTAATACTGAACACTAAACAAATAGGTACATAGCAAGATTTTCAAAAAGCGAATTGACATGAGAGGTATGGTCGAAAAGCAACTGTAGGCGAAGCCACTTAACTCAATAAAAAATTGCTAAAAACTAAGTTTTCTTTTAGAATCATGAACAGTGAGCAAAGTTCTAGCAAGATTAAAGCTAAGTTGAAGCCAAAGAGAGGTGAAAAAATGAAGGTGTCCTTGCGCGAAGGTTAGTATAATTCATTTTGCTTTTGATTGAGTCTTATTCCTTGATGAAATACCGATTGTTTTTTCCTTGAATGGTACTTTTTACTTCTCTAAGTTTCTCTCA